AATTTCATAAAAACCAATGCCTGTATGTAAATTGCAAGACAACTAACTGAAATACCTCAATATATATATATATAAAGTGAGTATCTAAGTCACGGATCTACATCAAGTAGTCCGGACAACATCCTGATACATTATTACAACTCCAACTAAAACAAGACATAAACAAGACTGTGTCATGGACAATCTCCATGCTCACCAAATCAACAGTGTCTCAATATGATAATCCAAATCATAAACTGAAGCTAAAAGCATATAAGCAGCATGTATAACCAGCATCCAACAAGTCAGCATATAATAACATCAATATCTAACTCAGCTCCGGCCTCCTGCCGCCTGAGGTCTCAACATTACCTGAACCTGAAATAAGCGCCCCAAACGTGGGGTGAGATCTCTAAACAGAAATCTCAGTAAGACAAGGGGTCCTCAAGGATCTTCCACCCCAAGCTCACTTACATGTGCAATATAAGTTCTAAAAGCAGTTATTCAATATAAGTTCCAAAACTATGCAGTGCAACATATATCTATGACATGGGTGTCTAAACTATTCTACTGGCCAGAGAAATGCAGGAATATGTCTATACCTACATGTAGTACAAGGAACACCACTTTTACCTCACCCACAGCCTCACCATATTGTATATACTACATACTCAGGCTTACCATCTAGGTGGCACACCACACGCATATCAACAAGGCACTAGCATATAACATCTCAACAGCATTTTCAAAACATCAAAAGCATGTAACACACCATGCATATACCATACCTCCATGGGACATGGTGGAACCACAACATGGCTAAAGCGAGGACACGAAAGCTTACCTCGCAAGCTAACAACCCAAACCAAGGTCCACACTAGCTCGAGGTCCACAAACAGCACAATCACAATCTGTTTTAGACCAACAATTATATCAATATTCATACTCTAATATTTTACCATGTTAAACTAGACATCTTGAGGTTTTCAACGATATACTTTATGTCTTAATCCGAGTTGTATAACTCCGGTTATGTTTTACGCAAGGTGACTGCTGCAAAATGAATTTCCAGGAACTAAAACGCGACTTAAAATAGACACTGCGATCAAACAACTGATCCCATGGCTACGAAAATTACAGAGCTGTAGCCCTATGTGTTAGCTTCACATAGGTCCAGACGGCACTCAATTTGGAGCTCTGAAGCCCAAGATATCAAATTTTTACTAAAACAGGTTCGTTGCTTTCCAGACCAAAATATCGGGATATCTCCAACTGAATATCAGGATATCTGATATCCGGATATTTCCAACCAAATATCGGGATATCAGATATCTGGATATTTCCAACCAAATATCCGGATATTTCGCGTCAGAATGCAGATTTTGCATTTCGCGAGATATCAATCCCAAGGGTCCATTTTCACCGATTACAGAAACTTAAGCATGCATTTCTAGGTGTGTTTAAGCTTACCCACCCTTAAGTTATTAACTTAAGCTTGTTATAAGCATCAAGGTTCCATTTTTATCCACTTAAACTCATGATCAAGGTTAGGGAAGCTTACCCAAGGTTCAAACTCAGGAAAAGATAGCTCTTGGAGCTCACCAACAGTCTCCAAGGGTTCAGAAAGCAAGGTGCACGAAAATGGTACCAAGGTGGGTCTTTTTCTTCACAAGATAGCCCCTTGGATCAACCAAATGCCATCCCAAAGGCTCCCACAACACCCACCATGAAGTCAGCCCCACATACACTTAGAAACAGAACTTACAACTCAGAAAATGGAGCACTCACACCCTCACAAGGTTGCTCTCAAGTGTATAGCAAGCTAAAGATGAAGAAAATGTTAGGAAAGGTGAAGACTTGGGACATTTCCAAGCAAGGGAGGCTAAGGAATGGAGAGGCAGCAGCTGGCCCTTCAGAAAACATACGTAGGAGGCACCAAAATAAACCTAGGATCATGTGCCACTCCTATATATAGCCTCATTAAGTTTTAATCGCACTGTATTAGCACTAATAGCTAAGCTAAGAATTATAATCCCAAACTTGGGGTTCTGAACCTACTCAATTTTACAAGAATTATCATATTTTTATTATATTTTTCTGAGCATCTTTCCGATACGCGCTTTTCATAGCCAGTATCAGTTTCTGGCACCAGTTCTTATTATTTTGACTTGAAACTCGTTTTACAAGTCATACATATCATTCTAGTAATTATCATGCACTTATTATAATTTTCCGGGATACTTTTTCGGTACGCATTTATACCGACTAGCAGGACCGGTATCTGCACTTTTCTTCCGAAAAGCGACTTTCAGCATTCTTAATCACTTACTATAATTATTAGCGCCTCGTAATAATTATTAGGGTCCATTATGGAATCATTTCCTAATTTTGCATAATTAATTAATTAAATACCTAATTTAACGGTGCGGGTTCTTACAGCAAGCTCCACTCTTCTAAAGGTGACCGCGCGCAAGAATGAGGAGAGGAAAAACTAGTTTACGTTATTATTTACATACAATGGAACGTCTCCTTCAACCAAAAGAATGAGCAACGAAACAGAGGCACACTTTACCTCTTAGAATAATGACGCACAACCGAGCAAGGTAAGGAGAGAAATTGTGTTTGAGACTTGGTACTTCCCCAAGAGGTTCCACAGTTTTAAGATGAAGGAGTAGGTGAGAGCAAGATGCAGTTTGGTGATTTCTCTTTGTATGTTTCTCACTGTTTCTTACGGTGAAGGAAGGAAGAATGATGATACAAAACTTTTGTGTTTCATTGCTGTATTTTCACTCACGGTTTAGGGAGGAAAAGAGGTGGCCATGGCTGAGTTCTTCTTGGACTACACAAAACAAGCTTCAAACTATTTTCTTCTACAACATCAGCGCAAGTTAGGTGAAGGATGGGGATTGTGGAAGCTGATTTAAAATGAGACCCAAGGATCAGAATTTTATTAGGTCTCACTCTCTCTCTCATGCGCTAAGGAGGAGGAGTGTGAGGGGCATTTCTACCCAATTAAAATTCATGCAAGCTGACACTTTAGGGTTAATTGGGTGCATGTAGGAAAAGGCTGAGTTAATTTAGGTAGAATAGCAAGTAAGACCAGCTTTTTGGCACCTCCTAGGCGCATGGAAGAAGGAAATTGAAAGTGGCTGACTTGGTTTATCAAAAAGGAACTTAATCAGAATTTTTGTTTCCTTTTTCACTATTCTAGGCGCACAAAAGGGAGGGAGGGTGAGGTTGATGAGGTTCTTGCTATGTGGAGATTGCAAGCCAATTGAAGGCTGCCTTGTTGGAATTTCTTAAGATGAGGTGAGATTAGGGCAAGGTGCAAAGAGCTTGGGCTGAATTAAAACATCCTTAGGGCCCTACACATTCGGCCATCACAAGAGTTGGGGCTACAAATTTACAAGTCCATTATTGTTGCTAATTTAAATACTAACCCATAAAATTATAATTTCCCAAGTCTTTTAAGTATTTTAATTATTTTTAATTCTTCCTATAAATTATTACTAAGTTATTCCTATATCTTTTAACTAAAAATCCACATGCCCAAAATAAATTCTCACCTATTATTATAATTCAATACTTCCCTAACTCAATATTAATTCCATACTAATAGCTATATAATCCGAAATCAAAGCATGTTTTGCGCATAACTCGAATTTATCTCCTTTTCATTTGGCTCTCCATAAATTTTTCTATACAATTAAGCATGAAAAACATGTGACTTACAGAAAATGTCGTTATCTATAACAATGATGCCATATTCTTCTTAAAAAATATATAATTTTGCTCAGGATTTCAGTTTCTTATGTTTCGTGAGAAGTTGTGTAAAAAGGCTCACTAGCTCATTCTATTAATTTTTTTCTTTCATGGACTCATGATTGTTTGTCCAAGTTTTGGCCCATAGCCCGATTCTTAGTGATTGATCAAAGTTATCTGTGCTTATTAAATTCAGGCTTAGTCCAAACGAAGTCCGCTATACTTTGACATAAACCTGAATTAATGTGAGCTATTACTTTTTTAGGGTAATTAATTTAATGGTAATAGCCCTTATGGGAGAGGCAAGGTCTGGTTCAGCGTTCTATCCATTTCAATGACATCACTCATGACTCATCCCACTATAATAGAGGAGGTTCACGACACTACTACTGGTTCTTATTCATTTTCTTTTTAGGGTTGACATTGGTTCTTATTATTAATACCTGATTACAAAATCAGAACCCATAGCTCAATACCCCCATAAACCATTTTAAACTCGCGCATGAGCCCAGTCACCCTTAGCTTTAACCTGAACATAAAGTTTCATTTTTAAAAAGTCAAATGGCTACCAATGACACACCACCGTCGTCAGTTACGAAGCACATGCACTTCAAAATTCTGACGTGTTATGTGTGATACTCTTCGATATTTTTTGACACTACAATACTCGTTGCAAAGATTCAAAAAAATGTTCAAATATTACATTGCGTTGCATTTTGAGTTCCAACTATTAGATTCGTTAGATTATGATTTTATTGAGTTTAATATAAACATTTAGAATATATTATGTTTCTTTGCAAAATTGATGGGTATTATAAGTTTAACTTTATTTTTTTGTTAAATTATTGAATACTAAATATAATATACACTTCTTAAATTAAAAATATTATATACTATCAAAATGTGTCCTAACGTGTCAAAATTTAATATTTTTTAAAATTAACATGTCGAAATATCATGTCGTGTTGTATCCCATATCGCGTGTCTTTATTGGTACAAGATAAGCCCTCGCTATAGTTTGGAATCCTTTGTGGGTCATTTGTCCTATGTGGCCATTAATAAAGTTTTGTTATAATTTAACAAATCCAAATGTCCTTGTCTAATAAATAAAATAACCTCATCAATCCTATTTCATTTTCAAAAGCCAACCACACTGAGACAACGACCTTTTCATATAAATTTTATCAACTCATCCCCAAACCCAACCAAAATCCTAAACCCCTCTCTCCCTCTCTCTCTCTCTCTATTAACTCCTTTTCTTTACATGGACGATCACCGAAATTCAACGCCTAACGCCATTGGCCTCTGTCTCCTCCCACAAGAACTCATCCAAAACATTTTTCTCTCTCTTTTGTTGCCCGAGATCGTTCGGTTGAAACTGGTCAACAAGTCCTTCTCTCGCATAATCTCTGACCATAGCTTTGTTCGACAGTGCAACTCTTTATCCAGTTCCACCACGTGGCTCTTTGTCTACAAGAAGCGCTGGCTCCGCGACGCCGTTCTCCACGCCTTCACCAATCGGAGCTCCGATCGATGGTTCCGGATCCCCATTTTGGAGCTCCTTAAACCCGTCCAGTTTCATGGTGAGGATCTCTACTTCCTCGCCTCCTCCGCTAACGTCTTCCTCTTCGCCTCCAATACCGTTCGCGAGGTCATCGCCGTTAACTTAGTCCCCGTAACAGTTAAGAAGATCCCCCCTTCCCCGCTTGGTCCACGTGGCACCTCTTCATGGAGGAGATCCGGAATGAAGCTCGTAACCGATCTTTCCGGGTCGGGTCGTTTCCGTTTCATGTTCGCGGAGTTCGTGGGGAACCGCCCCGTTTTGTTTGTCTACAGCTCCGAGACTGATACGTGGAAGTCAACGGAGGCTAAAGAAGATATAACCAATGGGTTGTTGCCACGTGGACGGGGACATGTTTTTCTCAACGTGGTTCACGGACCAAGAGAGAGCGTTCTGGTTGCGTCAACACCCGAGTGTGATGCACCGGTGGTTCTACGGCCGAGATTTGATGATGTGAGGGGTAGTGAGAGTGATGATGGGGGATTAACCGTTGGATTCAGCTGGGGGAACGTGATTGATCGGCTACACGTGTACGGTGATGGGTACATGATGATTGTGAAATCGGAGGGTGCGAGGAACGTGAGGGTGTTGAAGGGTGTGGAATTATGGGGTTTGAGCTTGGAAGGAAGGAACTGGGAGTTTGTTTCAACGGTTGATGGTGAACTGATGAAGAAAATTGAGAAGCCTTATGGGGTAATGATGGGATGCTTAGAGGAGAAAAATGGGATCATTAGGGCTGCTTTGGTATCTAATTGTGAGGGCTTTTGGGACATGATATGGCTATCATTTGATACCAAATGGAACCACTGGACATGGATATCATTGCCTGATTGCAAAATGAAAGGTTGGAACATGGCTGGTATAAGCTTCTCCTCTGGGCTAACCATGCCATGACCCAACTTGAATGCTTGTTCGTCTTGGTATTTATATGGTGTCTATCTAGACTTCTTTTGTTTTTTGTTTTTATTTTATTTTATTTTTCAGGTTGTATAGTATGGAGGCATGCCAATTGTGCATACATGTATATAGGTCCAAAAGTCTCTCGTATAAGAAAGTGATATGTTATATTTACAAAAATTTTGTTTACAAACTTTTATAATTATACTATGTACCACTGAGAGTACATTCCTAACCGAATCTATTCCCAGAAATACATAGTATAGTTTATAAACAAAAAATTTGTAAATATAATTTTTTCTTATAAAAAAATAAGTAAATAAGACGATAATGGTGTTATTGAATAAGTGAGTATAACTTCGATAATTCAACTTGTCTGTATATATTTTATTAAAACCATTAACTGGGGATGAACTATATATAGTGCGTGGTACTGAAAATTAAAAATTGAGATTCTGAGTAATGCTAGTTATTCGCCATATGTAAGTTGGTCACACTTGTCCCATTAGTAGTATACAAAGTGTCAAATGAAGTTCAAGTTCCTGGAAAAACATTACTGCGTTTTATTGAAACCATTTACCGGATAGTTATAAAATGTATTATAGAAAGTTAAAAAAAAAAAATTGTGTAATAGTGAAGTTACACATCATGTAGCGAGAGCTGGTCACAGTTGCAGCTTTAGGAGTATCCAAAGTGTGAAATCAAGTGCTTGTGAACATTACTAGAAAGTGAAGTAAGACATTTCTTATTGTATTCAAGTGGTAGGAAGACGTGTGATTAAAAAGCTTCAACTTAAAGTTCAATTCTTTGCAAACCATAAAGAGAAAAGGTAGGGAAGTTTAATCCAATTCAAATACCACTCAAAAGGATAAGTTGAATATCCATCAAAGTAAATTGAAATCTCTACCCACATCCACATCTACCAATGAACCACTTTCTTTCTCTCCTTTTCTCACCTACTTGTTGTTTATTAGTAAGGGAGATTCAATAACGTGATGGTGTCAGCAAAAGAAACGGAATGGAGGCAAATTATAGACCCCGACTGTTTCAAACACAACACGTTCTCGCAGACAGGAAAACCCTTTGGTATTTGGTCCCAATCCCAAAAACTTTTGCTCGCTTTCCTTCTCACTCACACGCACAATGTACCCTAACATTAATTCAAAATGTTCTTGATTCCCTCACACAGTTAACGGGGCCTAATTCTATTTCCCCACACACTCTACAGGGTGAGAGGGTCCTCCTCCTCGATGCTAGCACTTCTCCTAAGTCCGTGCCCTTTGAGCTTTGTAAATGGTCCCAAATTCCTTGCTTAACTTCCTGGACCACTTTTTACAGCTCACGAACTATTCCAATTAGAGGAACTCGAATTAATTTTAAGCCCTCAACTTGGCAAGGCAAGAACCCCAATGCTAGAAAACAAACCACTTACATGCACAACTATACTATATTTATATAAGCTTTGCTTGATAAATAATATCTCTACTACTGCATATTTTTCATTTTCTTTATTCCCTGCTTAAATTTTTTGTGATTTCTAATACTGCCAGATGGTTTCCACTTTTCACTTTCAAATTCCGAGAAATCTTTAATTTTTTTTTCACCTATGTAACTCTGATATGTTAACGTTTTGGGCTTCTGAAATGGTCCCTACTATGTGGACCACGTTAGTCCTTTTAAGATTTTCGATTGTCATAAGCTGTTTATTGAATAACACTAATATCTTATACAATCCCATATTTCGTTGAGCATACAATCGTGCAATGACCTTTTATAGCATCAAAGTCCATTGATCTCTCTCTCTCTCTCTCTCTCTCTCTCTCCCTCTCCCTCCCAATAATTGCATATATTTTAAGCTTCAACGTTAATGTTTTTATTATTCCCAATTGATAGAATGAAAGAGAATAAACACTTGAATTTGTGCTTGGGAATACACGAAAGTAATCATCTTAAGGTCCTCATTACATACATAGAGCAGCAAGGGCATTAGAATATAAGCAGAACTCTATCTGAAATTGACTCATTAATTAACAGATGTCTCTTCGCTATTCTAATGTAATGCCTGAATCTCTACGTCTTTGTGAGAACGATTGAGGGTATAGATAATTAGGTTCTTTTTTAAATTTAGCATAACTAGTCCTTCTCAATCTCTCAACAGAAATGTTCTTATATAGTGCCAAGGCAGGCTGGGCACCCAATTTTTTTAAGTAGCTAAGTTGTGAATATCGCAATTAAATTAGTAGCTAATTTATTTATTGTCGTTATTAATCACATACTTTAATATGTTGTTAGATGTTACTTCATATGATGTTGGATGCTATAGTTTTTAAATTGATTGATCAGAAATTATACCTGTAGATGCCTTTCTGTGACACATGTCTCTGAGAGGAATATTCTGATTACCATGACTTCATACCCTTGAAAGAAAGACTGTACTTTTGGGCTACCAAACAATTTTCATTAATCTAAATGTTTCCTGAAAGTAAGTATTAATTAAGCAAGAAGGGAGAGGGGTTAGAGAGCAGGGCAGAGGGACACTTTGCAACCAGTGTTGTTAAATTCGAACTGGCAATCAACTCGGTTAGGATATCAAATCAATGGATTATTGGTTTAATTAGATGAATTAAATTATATAATAAATATATAACTATAAGTAATAGACAATTAAAGTGACATGATTTAGTGGTTAACATTTAATTTCTCTTCTCTTATGTGCCAATCAAGAATTGGTTCAACTAGAGTACAGGTATTAGGTTTGCACTCATTGAATCCGATTTATGGCCGGAATCGTTTAGTGATCTGATTTTCATTTCAACCAATATCGGGCCGGTTTTAGAAAATTTGATTAAATTAAAACAACCTTATGTGAATAAGGGGCATTCCACAAAGCGTGCAAATTATTAGCTGCAATAATCTAGGAAAAGACAGGCACACGAAAGTGTGCCTTACTCAAAACTTTCCTGTTAGAGCGACACACAAGTGACTTTACACAGCAGCACTTTTATTAACTTTACAAGCTTTTAATTAATACGAATCTAATTGGGACAGTAATAAGTACTTGGATAATGACAGTTTAACGTTGAGTTCATTACACTCAGAAAAAGTTTTAATGGATTATATTCGTAATGTTTTTCTAAACATGGACTGCTTATGATTTGAGGCAAACGACAGTGAAATGCTACGAATTTTTTCACCAAAATGGATCAGCATTCTCCAATTAGTACCCCGAAGAGAATTTGCATAACAAATAGATAATGTGGAAACTGAGAAACTTAAATTTGGCCCATCAACCTCTGCCTCGTGGATCGGATAAGTCCAATTAAAACTTAAGATGTGTTAATTATTTCTGCTTAATTTTTTGTGTGAGGACTCTCTGAACTACAGTTCATCTGCAGCACACAATAGGTGCTAAATGTAGAAAGTAACAAACAAAGCAAACTCGCGAAAACCAAGGGCTGTCAACTGTCATGTTCTCTCATATTTGAGATTCAATTCCAACTACCTGCATACTTAGCAGGTATAAGAAAGCAAATTAATTTTAAAAAATTCGAGCTGCATGTGAAATCACAGACCTAAATTGGTTTAGGAGCAAATTGAAATTAACAAATTATTACATTCCCATCATTCAATTTATAATTTATTTCGTATTCGGTAGGTCTGGTAAATTAACAGTAATTCACACTGTTGGGTCTTGTACCCAAGCCTATGGTCCCATAATTACTCACAAATCGCAACGGTGAACGGTGACACTAGCAGTAGATCCAAACGCCACGTGTTGGGGTCAATTTCTCTCCCAAATCCCAAGATGGGAGTAGCAGCACAGCATCTAAATAATATAGGCCACCTTGCCACCTTCATGCTACTTAAAATCGAAGGCATGCTACCGCGACGTTGGGGAAACCTTTTATAAAAAAGCAAAATTATATAAGTAGAAGTATCTATCAATTTGATGGATTACCACTGTGGATAGCTACTCAGCACAAAGTAGCAACACATCATGGTCATACATTTTATTTTACAAAACAGCCCCTCTGTTAATGTCCTACCCCATACCTTTTCCTCTTTCTCAAGCCCCCTCTTTTTCATCACCAACTTTTCAGTTTTCACTCACAAGCCCAACACCTCCCCCTAAGTTCTCAGTGCACTAACTCACTCTCTCTCTCTCACACCACCACACACATAATAAACACACAAACTCATCCCATGTGATCAAATCATCAGATAAAAACCCAAACTCAACATTTCATTTCATTTCATCCAACTCAGATTGTTCAGTTATGGAGATGGTTTCAGCCGCCTCCAATGGAAGTTCCGCCGGAACCAAGACAAGGGACATCGACGACCTTCTCGCCGGCGTCGGCTACAAAGTCCGGTCATCGGAGCTCCGTCAAGTTGCTCAAAATATTGAACGCCTGGAGAACGTTATCGTGAACTCATCCGCCGACATTTCTCAACTTGCTTCCGACACCGTCCACTACGACCCCTCCGACATCGGATCCTGGGTGGACACTCTTCTCTTCGAGTTCGACCACACCGTATCCTTACCCTACGATCTCTCGGACTTACCTGATCTCGCCGCAGCTCCGCCACAAGGTCACCACAACCACCACCGTCAGTTAACAACCACCGTGGAAGAAGACTCGGGGATAAGGCTTGTCCACATGCTGATGACGTGTGCGGAATCTCTGCAACTTGGCGACCTCGCATTCGCTGGCTCTCTCATCGAGGGCATGCAGGGTTTGTTGGCACACGTCAACACCAATTGCGGCATCGGAAAAGTCGCCGGCTACTTCATCGACGCCTTGAGCCGCCGTATCTTCGCGCCGCCGTCGCAGCTTCAAAACATCATCTTAGGCTCTCCTTACGAGAACGATGTTCTGCATCATCACTACTACGAGGCTTGCCCCTACCTCAAGTTCGCTCACTTCACCGCAAACCAAGCCATCCTTGAATCCTTCAACGGTCACGATTGCGTCCACGTCATCGATTTCAACCTCATGCAGGGTCTCCAGTGGCCTGCGCTAATACAAGCCCTCGCGCTTCGTCCTGGTGGGCCCCCCTTGCTCCGGTTGACTGGCATTGGTCCACCGTCGCCGGACGACCGCGACACGCTCCGGGAAATCGGGTTGCGGCTTGCCGAGTTGGCTCGCTCCGTCAACGTCAGATTCGCGTTCCGCGGCGTGGCGGCGTGGCGTCTCGAGGACGTGAAACCGTGGATGCTTCAGGCGAGTCCTAAGGAAGCGGTGGCGGTTAACTCAATCTTGCAGCTTCACCGTCTCCTCGGGTCTAAAGCTGATCCGATCCAATCGGGTATTGAAATGGTGCTTGGTTGGATCCGGACTTTGAACCCGAAAATAATGACAGTTGTGGAGCAGGAAGCGAACCACAACGAGAACGGGTTCTTGGAGCGGTTCACGGAGGCATTGCATTATTACTCGACCATTTTTGATTCGCTGGAGGCGTGTCCGGTCGAACCGGATAAGGCTATGGCAGAGGTGTATCTGCAGAGGGAAATATGCAACGTGGTGTGTTGCGAAGGATCGGCTCGGGTGGAGAGGCATGAGCCGTTGACTAAGTGGAGGGAACGACTCGGGAAAGCCGGGTTCAGGCCTCTTCATTTGGGTTCGAACGCGTTCAAGCAAGCAAGCATGCTTTTGACTCTGTTCTCTGCGGAGGGTTACTGCGTCGAAGAGAACCAAGGTTGCTTGACTTTGGGTTGGCATAACCGCCCTCTCATTTCTGCTTCGGCTTGGCAAGCTTTGCCTCCACGAGACAGCGAAACGCTGCGTTTAGATAGCTGAAAAATGGAACGTTTCGGTTGCTTAATGTACTAGTAAACAGAAACAATGAGCTCATTGTAAATTTCCTTTTATTTTTATTTTTTTCAACTTTTTCCCCCGTTTATTCATTGTGTATTTCTTCGGTGGCTTCTCTTTCTTTTCTTTAATTTTACGGAGATGACTTTTGGGGCCTTTTACTTCTTGGGTGCACGGTTTTTCTCTCTCTTTTTTCCAAACAAAATATGAAAGTGACGCAGCCATGGATGTGGATGTGGGTGTGGGTCAAGTCAGTGTTACAATTTAGAAATAGGTCGCCACATTATTGAGTCCAACCGTGGCTTCTTTTAATTATAAAACAATTACTAATAAGAAAAATATTCGTTTCCACCAAAATGAAAATTCAGGTCAGTGAATTATGATAGGATAGTTGTCTGCGTAAGGTGAATACCTTGTAATCATAACAAAATTGATGGAGGATAATTCGCTGTAATCATGGAATTGTGGAGCATCTTCTAGAGCATATTGGTTGATATGAGGGAATAATATGCAGAGTAAACTAAACTAACATATAATTAATGATGACATCTTGGTTGTTATATATGAATAAAAAGACTAGGAGTGATGTTACTGGTGCCAAGCAGATGAAGCAAGATATCGAGTATGACATAAACTAGTAAATTTCTCGTTAGCATGTGCGTATACATGGTATATTCCATAATGCAACTGAATAGTGAACATCACCATTAATAGGTCAGCTAACCGTCTAACACAAAATTGTCTTGAGTTTGTTTCTAAAGTAAATTTATAATGATATATTTACTATTGAATTTTAATGGGCTTCAGTTACAGTATACTTTAAATTACATTAAAATGTAGATACACCCATTTACATATTCTTATCTTAAAAAAGCGTTATCTGAATTTAGTATATAACTAGCCTCGTGCACAAAATTTCGAGGTCTTTTACTGGATTAGGAGCCCAAAAACTAAGATTTGGAGCGGATGTTTTTTTAATATTATCAAGCTAGTATAACCATTGTTTGGACAACTTAGAAGAAGTTCTCCAAAGATGTCTATCCTCTAATCTAGTGCTTAATTGGGAAAAATGCCACTTCATGGTGAAGGAAGGAATAGTCCTGGGCCATAAGATTTCCAGCAAAGGATTGGAAGTAGATCAAGCCAAAGTAGAAGCCATAGCAAGAATGCCGCCACCAGTAAACGTCAGAACACTGAGATCTTTTCTTGGGCATGCAGGCTTCTACAGGAGGTTCATTAAAGATTTCTCCAAAATAGCCAGACCTTTGTGCCATTTGTTAGAAAAAGATATGAAATTTGAGTTTAACTTTGATTGTTTGAAAGCTTTTGAAACCTTGAAAAACAAGCTCATTACCACACCTGTCATCCAACCTCCAGACTAGAACTTACCCTTTGAACTAATGTGTGATGCAAGTGATCATGCCATTGAGGTAATTCTAGGACAGAGGAAGGATAAAATCTTTCGTAGCATATATTACGCCAGTAAAACCTTGAATCAAGCTCAAGTGAACTACACAGTCACTGAAAAAGAGCTATTTGTTGTAGTATATGCCTGCGAAAAATTCAGGCCATACATTTTAGGATCAAAGATTATTGTTCATACTGACCATGCAGCTCTCAAATATCTTTTCTCAAAAAAAGAAGCAAAACCAAGATTGATAAGATGGATCCTACTACTGCAAGAATTCAATCTGGAGATCAAAGAAAGAAAAGGGTGTGAAAACCAGATTGCAGATCACCTGTCCAAATTGGAACACATTGAAGAAGGGCTACCAATCAAGGAGACGTTCCCGGACGAACAATTGTTTAGCGTCAATCACATAAAAGCAGACGTTCCTTGGTTCGCTGATATAGCCAACTTTCTTGCAGCAGGATTGGAACCTTACGGGGCAAGCAGAATGCAGAAGAAAAAATCTTTCATGATTGCAGGAACTATCTTTGGGATGAACCGCTGCTGTTCAAAAGATGCGCTGATCAAATGATAAGAAGGTGTGTCACAGAAGAAGAACAACCTCCAATCCTTCCTGTAACACCCCGTGTATACTCGGAATATTAACATTACATCGTATTAAGCGGTGCTTAATTAAAAATGAGGAATATTCTTTTTCTTTTCAATTATGACGTCATTATCAATTACTAACTTGATTACTTAATCAATTTCATAAAATAACGCCTGTATATAAATTGCAATAAGACATCTACTGAAATACCTCAATATATAAATAAAGTGTGTATCTAAATCACGGTATTACATCTCGTAATCCGGACAATATTCTGATACATTATTACAACTCCAAAAGACTCAAGACATAATCAAGACAAAACAATACTATGTGTCATGGACAATCCCCATGCTCACCAAATAAACATAGTAAACAACCAGTCTCAACATAAAACTCCATAATCATAACTGAAGCTATAAGCATAAAAGCAGCATGCATAACCAGCATCCAATCATGGCAGCATAATATAACAGCAATCTAACTCAGCTCCGGCCTCCTGCCGCCTGAGGTCTCAACATTACCTGACCCTGAAATAAGCATTCCCCAAACGTGGGGTGAGATCTCTAAACAAGAAATCTCAGTAAGACAAGGGGTCCTCAAGGATCTTCCACGTGGGAACGATAAATGAAGTTTGACCAGACAGTTCATTTATTAACTTTTCTTCTCATTTTCACTCTTTATAAACAGTGATAAAACAATAATTAGCACTCTATCCTCGTGGGAACGATAATTTGGGCATTAATACTCCCTTTATTACTTGATGCGTGCACTTGCGCACTTGGGTTGGAACTAAGGGAACGAATCTGTGTTCTGCAAGAACAGAGGAACGTCCCCTATCAGAACTTATATTTTCCACCATCAGCAAACCACCCAACAAGTTTTTGGCGCCGTTGCCGGGGATAGAAACAATAACTGTTGTTCTTATCATTGTCTTCTAACACATATACTGTATATATGACTTTACTTTTATTTTCTTCTTTATCACTGAATCTGTTGTGCATATATATGCCCTGTGCTATTGGTTTATGAGTGAAGAGTTTGAAGCAGACTCTAACATTGAAGTACCTGAGTTTCTCTTTGATCCTGAACCAGAACGTACACTTCACAGAAGAAGAAGAAACCTCAGGGAAGAAACTCGTGAAAACATGGCTGATTATAACAATAATGAAGATATTCCTCCTGAACAAAATTTCAGAACCTTGGCTGCTCCTTTTAGGAACAGACCAGACAGGGGAGTAATTCTCCCTCCTGTAGCACCCAATTTTGAACTAAAACCTATCATGTTTCACATGATTAGGGAAGCAGGAGTCTTCAATGGACTCCCTGCAGAAGATCCTTTCACACACCTCACCACATTCCAAGATATCTGTGACAATTTTAAAGCTAAGGGTGTAACAGAAGAGAGCATGAGAATGAGGTTGTTCCCTCACTCCTTAGGCTTAAAAGCAAAAACATAGATGAAAACTCTCACCTCTGGGTCAATCCACACATGGGAAGAACTCTCTAACAAGTTCATAGAGAGGTTTCTCCCAATGTCTCGACAAGCAAATGTTAGAGCAGAAATCTCTAACTTCAGAATGTTTTATGGAGAAAATCTATATGAAGCATGGGAGAGATACAAGGACATCATAAGAAAATGTCCAAACCATGGGGTAGAAAGTTGGGGAGTGTTACAATCTTTCTATAAAGGACTTGATCATACTTCTCAGTCTCACTTAGATTTTGCTGCAGGAGGATATTTTTTTACAGGAACACTTGAATCAAGATATGAAATCATAGAAGGACTGCTGAAAGATGTCTCCAATGGCCAATAGATAGAGTGAGCCCAGTAAGGAAGCCAGGCATGCTAGAACTAGATTAACAAACTGCCATGGAAGCCCAGCTGGCATCACTCATGAATGAAGTGAAGAACCTGAAAGCCGACCAAGAAGCACCAAGGATGGAAGACTTATAACTCACAACAACTGAAACAGAACCATGCTCAGCCTTTGGTGACCTTCATGACTCAATAGACTGCCCATCCACTGCATTGGTGTGTTATGCAGAGAATTCTGGCAATAGGAACTTCACTAAAGACAATCAACAAGCAGGACGTAATACAAATTCAAGCCCTGAAGGAACTATCATTAAGGATCAGAATCACAATCCCCAATGGAAGCCACCCATGCATCAAAGACCATTCAATCAACAGCAGCAATATCAGCAAAGCAGCAGCAATGCAACGTTTGAACAAAGGAGAAACAACTACGTTCCGTTCCACAGAAATGACCAACGCATCAATACCCTGGAAAATTATGTCAAGGAATATGTCACCAGGAATGATGCAGTGGTCAGGAACATTGAGTCCCATCTGGGACAGATTGCTGCCAATCTTCAAACAAGAGCACCAGGATCACTACCAGGGGACACTGAAGTTCCCTAAAACAATTCTCCAGAGACCTAAGAGGTAAGTACCATGTCTAGCTAAAGACATTAAACTAAGCGCTGACTGGGAGGCAACCCAGTAGATACATTTGCTCTCTGACAAAGAGAAAAGTTGTGGGGTGGTTACTCTTAACCACACAGCTCCCAAAAAGGAGGGAACATCTGAAGTTCCTCTCCAAAAAGTCCAAGTACGTTCCGTTCCAGGAACGTAGTTTTGGGGTGGTCCCTGACCACAATCCCAATATAAATTTTTTTTATATATATATATAGATGTACTTATATGTTTTGTTATATGTTCATTTAGATTTATTAAATAATAGGTGATAGGTTAATACGTCCCCTTTTCCTTACTTAGTACTCACTATTGCATATCTTCTTATTATTTATTTCAGTTATTTATTTATTTATTAGTTAGGAAAAGACAAAGGGAACGTTCCCTGGGTTAGGAGATAAGAGTGACTAGGACACCTGTCCCTGCTGAGTCACTTAAAAAGATACGCAGCCATATCCAATTTGCATTCATTGTAATTCTTGGAAACGCGCGCAGAAAAAGCAACC